CACGCCTACAGCCCTGCAAGAGAAGCCACTAGAAGGATAAGCCTGTGCACTGCTAGGACAGAGTAGCTCTCATGAAGCAATGAAGACCCGGCATAGTCAGTAAATAATTTTTAAAAAAAGACACAAGGTGATAGTGTATGTAGAGTGGACTTCCCCGGGTGGCTCAGAAGGTAAAGCGTCCGGCTACAATGCGGGAAACCCGGGTTCAATCCCTGGGGTGGGAAGATCCCCCAGGAGAAGGAAATGGCAACCAGCTCCAGTATTCTTGCCTGGATAATTCCATGGACTTAGCAGCCTGGTGGGCTGCAGTCCATGGGGTCACAAAGAGTCGGACACGACTGAGCGACTTCACTTCACTCACATACGAGTATGTATATATACATTTTGGGGGGAATCCCAGGTGGCGCCGTGGTAAAGAACCCACCTGCCAATGCAGGAGACGCGGGTTCGATCCCTAGGTGGGAAACATTCCCCTGGAGGATGAAAATGGCGACCTACTCTAGAATTCTTGCCTGGAGAATTCCAAGGACAGAGGAGCCGGGTGGTCCTTGGGGTTGCAAAGAGTCGGATGCAACTCAGAGACTAAACAACAACAAACAGCATCTAATGACATGTATAGTAACCACTTGAATAGAACACATTTTCCTGTTTTTTTTTTTTCCAGTTGAGCTTGTGGCAAAGACGCGTGACTCAGTTTTCTCGTGGTTGTTGATATTTTGAGGTGTCTTCCATTGTGGGCAAGAGACCTTTCTGAAGGGTGTGGAAAAGAAGACTTTAAAAAAAGAAAAAAATGACTTGAGCCATGTTTTCAAGCCTTGTGGGAGAAGTTTCCCAATGTATCTAATCTGCAACTGCACTGCCCTGAGATTTTTGCCCGCTTAGCCTTGGTGAAAGGGGAACTCCCCTCTGCCAGCACATTGATTTCCTGTAAGTGAACAAACTGGATTGTCTGCCCAGACGTGCCCAGGGTTGCAGTGGCTGAAATAGGGCAAGGGGGACCATCCAAGGATCTCTGTGCCAGGGTATCTGACACCTTCATCACCTGCATCTATGTGTTTGCTTATTTTTGCAGCACATCATCACGAAGCTTCAAAACCCAGGCAACTCCATAAGCGCATTCTAAGGAGCACCCTTGCCCTAACACAGAGCTTTCCTATAGCTTCCGCCTTACCCTTGCTGTTTCCAATTCTTAACCCTGGAGCTTTTTTTTTTTTTTTTTTCTTTCCCTTTTGAAAACACTCCTTTTGTCTAAGGAATGAACAAAGTTCTTAGAACCAGAGAAGAAGAGTAACTCTCTCATTTGTGTGTCCATTTATGTTTCCAAAAATGGAAAGAAGCTGAGCAAGGATTCTAAAGGGTCCAACAGGTGAGCCCAGGCAGACAGGAGACCCCCAATATTTGTGGAATAACTGTGTTCCAGGTTGAACTGTGTCCATGTCAAAAAACAAAAACAAAAACAAAAACCCTGCATAGGAGGGACTTCCATGGTGGTCCAGTGGCTAAGGCTCCCTGCCTCAATGCTTGGGACCTGGGTTTGATCCCTAGGTGGGGAGGATCCCCCGGAAGACGGAAATGGCAACCTGCTCCAGTGTTCTTGCCTGGAGAATCCCATGGACAGAGAAGCCTGGTGGGCTACAGTCCACGGGATCACAGAGTCAGACAGGACTGAAGCTGCTGAGCATGCATGCAAGCAGGAAACTGGATTCTGCCTGCTGGAAATGCAAGATCTCACATGCTGCAACTAAAAAAAGCAAGATGCCACAACAAAGACTGAAGATCCCACAGGCTGCAACTAAGACCCGGAAGAGCCAAATAAATAAATATAATGAATACTAAAAAAATAATAGTGTGGGAGCCCTAACCACTGGTACCTCAGTGTGACTTTACCTGAAGAGAGGGTCTTGACATGGGTAATTAAATTAGAATGTGGTCATGAGTCTGGGTGGCAATCCTGGATGACTGGTGTCCTTATAAAAAGGGGAATGTGGACATGGAAACAGATGCATGGAGAGAAGATAAGATGATGAGATAAAGAGATAAGATGGCTATGGAGGAGCCGAGGAGAGAGGCCTGGAACCAACTCTTTCCTCAGGAGGCGTTAACCCTGTCCACCCTCTGACCCCGGGCTTTTGGCCTTCAGAACTGGGAGGTACTAACTTCGTGTTGTTGCGTCTACCCACTCGGTGGTCCTTCCATACAGCAGCCTAGCACATTTGGAGGAGAAGGAAAATGGCAACCCACTCCAGTACTCTTGCCTAGAGAATCCTGTGGACAGAGGAGCCTGGTGGGCTGCCGTCTATGGGGTCTCACAGAGCCTGACAAGACAGTGACTGAACTGAACAGCTTGCCCTGGCTTACACCATGTAACACTTTTGTTTCATGCACAAGGAAAGGAAGGCACAGAGGTTTAATACCGATGTGTGCTAAACCAAGGTGTCTGAGTGCCCAGTTTACACACTTCACCAGAAATACAATGCTCACATTTTAAAGTCTCTGCAGCTTTCTTATTTCTGCCTCTTGAAAGATCCTATCTTTATGTTTAAACATACATTTGAAAATGAAAATCGCTCAGTCCTCTCTTGACTCCTTGCAACCCCATGCACTGTAGCCTGCCAGGCTCCTCTGTCTGTGGACTTCTCCAGACCCGAATACTGGAGTGGGTGGCCTTTCCCTTCTCCAGGGGATCTTCCCAACCCAGGGATCGAACCCAGGTCTCCCACATTGCAGGCGGATTCTTCACCAGCTGAGCCACCAGGGAAGCCCAAGTATACTGGAGTGGGTAGCTGTTCCCTTCTCCAGGGGATCTTCCCAAACCAGGCATTGAATCCAGGTCTCCCACATTGCAGGCGGATTCTTCACCAGCTGAGCCACCAGGGAAGCCCAAGTATACTGGAGTGGGTAGCTGTTCCCTTCTCCAGGGGATCTTCCCAAACCAGGCATTGAATCCAGGTCTCCCACATTGCAGGCGGATTCTTTACCATCTGAGCCACCCTGGAAGCCCATTTGCCAACAAGCATTTATAACACCAGCTAACAATAAATAGAAATGGGTTGGTGGAAGGTATTTCTGAGAGTGGGAAGGAAAAAAAAGGAAATGCTGCTTTTCAGCTTGCATTCAGAAATTTTGGGGGGCGAGGGTGAAGAAAACTCAGTAATCAAAGGCAGATGGGACATACAAAGCAAAAACGGCAAGGCATTTAAGACATCTGCCAATGGACTTCTCTGGTCGCTCAGACCGTCAAGTGTCTGCCTACAATGCGGGAAACCCAGGTTCAATCCCTGGCTCGGGAAGATCTCCTGGAGAAGGAAATGGCAACCCACTCCAGTATTCTTGCCTGGAAAATCCCATGGGTGGAGGAGTCTGGTAGGCCACAGTCCACGGGGCCACAAAGCGTTGGGCAGGACTGAACTACTTCCCTTTCTATTCTGGCTCCTTACCAACTGAGCTATCAGGGAAGCCAAAGAGTCCCTTGGGACTGCAAGAAGATCCAACCAGTCCATCCTAGAGGAAACTAGTCCTGAATATTCATTGAAAGGATTGATGCTGAAGTTGAAGCTCCAATCCTTTGGCCACCTGATGCGAAGAGCTGACTCACCGGAAAAGACCCTGACGCTGGGAAAGATTGAAGGCAGTAGGAGAAGGGGACGACAGAGGATGAGATGGCTGGATGGCATCACCGACTCAACAGACGTGAGTTTGAGTAAGGGCTTCCCTCCTAGCTCAGTGGGTAAAGAATGTGCCTGCAGTGCAGGAGACCTGGGTTCGACCCCTGGGTCTGGAAGATCCCCTGGAGAAGGAAACGGTAACCCACTCCAGTGTTCTTGCCCGGAGAATTCCATGGACAGAGGGAGCCTGGTGGGCTGCAGTCCACGGGGTGGCAAACACTCCGGCACGACTGAGCGACTAACTACTTTGACAACACACTTTTTGAGTTAAGCTCCAGGAGCTGGTGATGGACAGGGAAGCCTGGCTGTGCTGCAGTCCATGGGGGTCGCAGAGAGTCGGGACACGACTGAGCGACGAGATTGAACCGAACCGATTCTGGCTCTCTGCTATCAGACTTCGGCTGCGGATTTGCTCTGGGAGATGTACCAGCCAGGGTTGCTCGGGGATACAGGCGCCAAGGAGGGGGACCCGTGCGCCATTGCTCAATCTCCCTGCCAAGTCCGAGGTGGGAGGTGGGGGCGGCTATAAACGGAAAGGGAAACTTGCCAAGAGTCTGGAGACGGGCGCTCCGGGGCCCGGGCCGAAGCCCTCGGGGAGGGGGACCCCCCATGATTAAGGCCACCCTGTTACCCGTGTACTTGGTGGCTCTGAAGAGAGAAGCACCTCAGGCGCGGTTGTCCCTCCGCGCTCTCCCTCCCTCCTCAGGCGCGTTCCAAATTCGAGCCGCACGCGCTGGCCCCCGGACCAGGGACGCGGCTCTGCTCGGGCCCGTCACTGAACCTGCCGGCCAGTGTTCACGGGCGTGACGTGAGCCGGTCTGGTGGACGCGGGCAGGAGGCCCAGGGCGCGCGCGCCCGCGTCTCGGGAGCTGCGCGAGGAGGCCGGCAGCGCGCATCCGCCGAGCGGCTGTGCGGCTCAGAGCGCGCGCGGGCCGCGCGAGGAGGCGAGAGGCGCGCGTGCGCAGAGCGCCCGGTGCCTGGGCCGGCCGCAGCGCGCGCGCGGGAGCAGCTTCGGGGGCGCGGGCGCGAGGAGGAGCGGGAGGGTGGGAGGCCCGGGGAGTATCATGCGCAGAACAGCTCAGGGGGGGCGCGCGCTGGGTCGAAAGAAGGGCGTCCAGAGCGCGCGTGCGTGTGCAGGAGCCGCCCGTGGCTGGGGGGATGGGGGCGCGGGCGGGAGGAGGCGGCGCGGGCGGGAGGAGGCGGCGCGGGGGCCGCGCGTGCGCAGAACGGCTCGGGGCGCGCGGGGCAGGCCGGGAGCGCGCCTGCTGGCGCCTCCTCCCCGCCCTCCCCCTACCCCCCGCCCACCCCGCGCGCCAGCAGAGAAACGGCGGCACAATGGCGGCGCCCGTGCCCCCTCCTCGCCCCGTCACCCACCTGCTTTTCGACATGGACGGCCTCCTTCTGGGTGGGTAGTTTGCGGCCGCCTCCCGCCAGGGCTGCCTGGGGATTGGCCGGAGGGGAAGCTCAGGCCCTCAGCGCCGGGGCCGGGGGGCCACGCCCGGCCGAGCGGTGTGAGGAGACCCCTCGGTCACCTCAGGCGGGGCGCTCGCCCGGGGCTGCCGCGTAGACGGCTCCCAGGGCACTTCCGGCGGCCGCGCCGCGCTTGGCGGGGCCGGCGCGCTCAGGGACCACCGTGCTGGCCGTGGAGTTTCTCGGTGAGGTCCCCCACCCCCCCGCCCCAGAGGCCACGAGCGCTGCGCGCAGCAACCCTGCCTCAGTTTCCCCATCTGCGCCCCGACCTCCAGGGGGCCCTGCCGGCGCTCTGCCGTCTGAGGTGCACGCACCTGGTTGGTAGCATCCTACAGGCAGGGCATGGACCTCCATCCGCCGATTTGGGGGTGGGAGGGGGGGCGCGGTAGCCTCTGCCGACGTCTGCAGGCGTTTGGGGGTGACCTAGCCGGAAGGCGGGAGTGCCATCCAAGCGGGTTTGCTGCTGAAGCTCGCTCTCTCGCAGTGCGCGGGACCGCTCCACGGCCACTGCAAACGCTCCTGATCCCCAGTGTCTTCTGAGGAGGAGGAGGTGATGGTAGTGGTGGAGCCCTGCTCAGAGGTCCGACTGGGCCGAGGGATTCCCAGCACGGACATCCGAGCGGGCAGCCGCTTTGCAGTGCGGTGCCCGGGTCCCCACCCCGCCGGTGCCCAATCAGAATCTGCATTTTTTTTTAACCCAAGAAAGTTGGAGATGCACACAGCGCCCAGGGTTTGGAGTGGTTTAGCAATCCCGCACACCCGCTCCGAATTTGTCCTGCAGTGGCTTGGTGGTAGGTGTGAACTCCACCAACCGAATTCATAGCGGGATTCATAGAAAGCACTCCCTTTTTACAACTCAAGAGCCAACTAACTGCCCTGAGCTCAGCTTACAGCTTGGGCCATTTTTTCCATACCGGTGCCAAGTGTTACACAACGTTAGGAATCGTTCCTGACTTAAGTCTCCGTAATGTTTCCCAGAACTGTACAAATGTGTACGTACTTTACTATGTAGACTACTGACTTGGTGGAGGTGTGTGTATTTTTAATGTGTGTGTGTGTGTGTGTGTGATAGCCATCTCCGACTCTACAACCCCATGGACTGTAGCCCGCCAGGCTCCCTCTGTCCATGGGGATTCTCCAGGCAAGAACACTGGTGTGGGTTGCCATTTCCTTTTCCAGGGGGGATCTTCCCTGCCCAGGGGTCAAACCCCAGTCTCCTGCATTGCAAGCAGATTCTTTAGCGTCTGAGCCACCAGGTAAGACTTTCATGTACTTCACTGCTGCCTCTCATAAAATCCTGCAACGTGGGAGTAGATATTTGTGTTGACTAACTGAAAGCAGAAGATTGCACAGTTCAGAGAGGTAAAGTGACTTGCCCAAGGTCACACAGCTAATAAGGAACAGAGCTGAGAAATGGTTACAGATTGATCTAGTTCTAAATATGTGCTGCGCTCATCTTAAGGAGGGTGAATGTGACCTTGCCCCTGTGATCATGTAACTCGGTTCAATAATGGGGCTGTTTCTCATTTCTTTTCACGGACCCAGGGCTTCCCAGGTAGCTCAGCAATAAAGGATCCGCCTGCAGTGCAGGAGACTCATGAGATGTGGGTTGGATCCCTGGGTGGGGAAGATCCCCTGGAGGAAGGTATGGCATACCCACTCTGAGCAATCCCATGGACAGAGGAGCCTGGCAGACTACAGTCCACGGGGTCGCAAACAGTCAGACGTGACTGAGCAACTTAGCTCCCAGGGCACTTAGCACATAGCATAGCACAGAATTGTAAACCAGTGAATTCCTAAGGGAGAAAAATAAGTTCCTGTCGAGGTCACTGACTGGATAGAACAGTGTATGCAGCTACTAAACCTGATATGACTCAATTTCAAAAAGACCTCTGGGATTCGTAAGTATAGTTTGTGGACATGAGTTTTCCTGCCCAGGTGGTCAAGTTAAATTGTCAAATAAATGCTTTACCTTCTAATGACAGGTCTAGAGAACATGTGTTGGGGGTCTCATGAATTTCAATGCAGACTAAGGTGTCTCATTAAAGTTAAATATATTAAACTTGTAAATGAGCTTGGTGCTTCATCCCCACTCGAGACAGACAGACGTGTTGCCTGGAGCCATGAATGTGACTTCTGTGGTGGTGATTGCAGGGGTAGTTACCAACCAGGGGTTTCCCTGGTGGCTCAGCTGGTAAAGAATCTGCCTGCAATGTGGGAGACCTGGGTGGGGAAGATTCCCCGGCGAGGGGAAAGGCTACCCACTCCAGTATTCTGACCTGGAGAATCCCATGGACTGTATAGTCCTTGGGGTCGCACAGAGTCAGACAGGACTGAGCAACTTTTCAGTTATCAACCAGAGTCTCCACTTGGCTAGTTAAGGCAAGTGGAGTGATTTCTCAAGCATTGGCCTGGCAGTTGCGTTACCCAATCCTCTGAACAAGTCAGAGAAGCAAGGATTAGGGCCTTTGGGAGCACAAGACCCTTTCCTCCTTTTTACCTCATACTGCCCTGACTCTTCCTGGAGGTGGTAAGGCCTTGCAGAGCTTTCTCGGAAATGCGCCTTTGGTTATTCTGACACTTTTAAAAAACATGTGGTATAAAACAGCAGTTTCCAGAATGCAATACTTTACTGCCTTTAATCTGCTTGATTATACCTGTTCTAGGGCTTCCCTGGTGGCTCAGTAAAGAGTCTGCTTGCACGGCGGGAGACCTGCATTCGATCCCTGACTTGGGAAGGTCCCTTAGAGGAGGGCATAGCAACCCACTCCAGCATTCTTGTCTGGAGAATCCCATGGACAGAGGAGCCTGGTGGGCTACAGTCCATGGGGTCGCCAAGAGTCGGACACGGCTGAGCGACTAAGCACATAACCTGTTCTAATTTTCAAGGGCCTGACTTCAGTTCGTCTGTTGTTTGCGTAACAGTGAGTCATCAGTTAATAATAAGTTCTTTTTTGGCCTGCCCGCTTTTCAGAATTCCAAATGCATTTCCCCAGGGTGTATCTGTTTGTCCGTGTAGCCCAGGTACTTGAATTTTCCAAGAAGAGCAACAGAAAACAGTGAGTTGGGTGAGGAGTTCTTAGAGAAGGGCGAAGCTTGTGGACAATGAGGAAGTCTGGAGATTCTTGCAGGAATGCTGACAAGAACACCAGGGTTACTTTATAGTGCTTTTGAAGTGTTTGCTGCTGTTGTCTTTTCAGTCTTTGGAATTTGATTTTTGCTGACACAGGTAACAGTTATCTGTGAGTTAGGTAGTCATTTTGGCCCTCACATGCTATTTAGACACAGAGACAGAGGGGACTGAGATTATTTATGATCAAGGATACGATTTTGAAGGAAGAAGATACAAGTATTCAATACTCAGCTCCTGAACAGGAAAGATTTTCTTGTTGATTAAATAAGTGAAGTTGTTTAATGACTTTAGGAGCACAGGACATTCTCCTTAGGAGAGAGGAAAATTGGTGGTCCAGAGCTCTGCAATCTGATAGGAGTAGGACCATGTAAGATGTTCTCAGAGCCACACTGACAAAGGAAAAAGACTCAGAGGACATGAGCATGAGTGGAAGCTTTTTCTGTCCTAACACATCCAAAATATTGTTACTCAACATGTAATCAATTAAATAAATCAGTCAGGTAGTTTATCTTCATTTTTGTTCCCTAGCCTTTGAAATCTGTGTGTATTGGACACTCAGAACGCATCTCCACACAAACTAGCCAGGTTTCCAGGTTTTACTGGCCACGTTTGGCCAGGGCCTACCTTGTTGGATGACCCAGGTGCAGGGTTTTAGGAAGCAATTTATTGATGATTGCTGTTGATAACAGGGCCAGGTGGAGGGTGGATGTTAAGCATATTGAGAATTAGGAATTCTGCGATGTGTAAAATGTGGTATACATAAAATATGCTTTTTAGGAGTCTGATGCAGTAATTATAACCCTTAAAACGTCAGCCTTAGGAAAATAACTTATTTTCAAATTTTTAAAATAAATCAGAGAAATAATAATGTGATAGATGGATGAGGGAAAATACGAGTATTTGCAGTGTTGATTATAACTGACCATGTCTCCATAAACACACAGATATTGCAGGATTTTTATTTACTTATTTTTAATCCCACAACATGTGAGATCCTTGGCTCAGCGGTAAAGAACCTGCCTGCCAATGGGGGAGATGTCGGAGACACAGGTTCAGTCCCTGAGTTAGAAAGATTCCCCTGGAGGAGGAAACGGCAACCCGCTCCAGTATTCTGGAGAATCCCTTGGACAGAGGCGCCTGGTGGGCTACAGTCCACCGGGGGCGCAAAGAGTGGGTCGAAACTGAGCGCCACGTGTGGGGTCCTAGATTCCCAACCAGGGAGTGGACCTGCACGCCCCGCGTCGGAAGTACCGCTCTCCGGACCACCAGGAAGGTCCCAAGATGGCAGGGTTTTGAGCGGTGACACCTGGCTTCTGACTCACCGCCACATCGAGGAGCAGATGCCCTGTTGTGTACCTGTTTGCACTCCCATAGCTTCTTCCCTGCGCAGTAGTGGCCCTTGAGATGGTGTAGGAGTGCCCGGTTCCCTGGCTGCCTCTGGGTGACGGCAGGGCCTCTGTGGAGCTCAGCAGCTCACAGCCGTGCCCACACGGGGTCGGAGTCCCCTGCCACCCGTCATCCTGTGGTTCACTTCCCCTACGCCAGCTTCTCGAGACGCCAGAACTTCCACACAGCGGATGACAAGAGTCTCCTTAGAAGGCTTTAGCACATCCCTGGGGGCTCCGAAGGTCAAGAATATGCCTGCAGTGCGGGAGACGTGGGTTCAGTCCCTGTGTCGCCCTCAGAGAAGGAAACAGCAACCCTCTCCAGTATTCTTGCCTGGAGAATCCCAGGGACAGCGGAGCCTGGCAGGCTGCAGTCCACGGGGTCAGCAAGAGTCAGACACGACAGCAAGCAAGGGG